ACAGGGAACGAGGGTTACACAAGTAACCTAGACGTTCTTTTTTGCAACGTCATATGACCCCTTTAAGCAAGCTAGTCAATTGTAGTTAGTTAGCTAGTTAATTTAGCTAGTTTATTTTACCTAATGTTATTACAGGTATGGAGGAAAACATTTTTTTTGTGCTCTGTGTCAAATGGGGTGCCTGATGCAGTCTTGAAAATATAAAATACCATAATTTACATGAGTCCATTTAGTTCAAAAAGCTGTAGGGTATTGGTCACTTTAAATGTATTTACATTGAATCATTCACTTAACCAATTTGTTCAAAATGGTTGAATCAATGTTACATTTGGAAAAACAGCACTTTTGTGATATTGCTTAACCATATTACATGATATATATATATATATATATATATATATATATACAGAATATATATATATATATATATATATATATATATATATAGAACAAAAACTAATTTTCAATTTTGGGGGCCTTTTTTTACTAATTTCAGTGGGGTTTGCACCCGCAGCCCCCATTAATTTCTAATTTCCACAAAGAACTTTACAACCCAACAGTTAGTTGGGTGACAGTGACAGTTACTGTACAGTGCCTTACAATATATTCAAAGACTTGTCGACAATCTTGATTTGCTTTGAATTTATAACTAGAAGAGAGAAGAAATAGAAGAAGAAAAAAATAGACCAATATAGCTGAGAAAATTGTGTCACATTAAGACTTTGGGATTAACTGCCATCATTGCATATACCTGTACAGTTTGTTAACATTGTCTGCCTATTCTTTGTAACAGATTTTTTTAAGCTTGTTTAGGTTGGCCAGATGACAGTTTTCAAACAGTGCCACAACAATGTCTCATTGGCACTGAGATCAGAAGTCTAACTGGATCGCTGTATGACTTTGTGTTCCTGAGCCACAACAGATGGCTCTGTCCCTGCCTTACAGATCCCTGCAGCTGAAACACTCAACTTTCTCCAAGCATCAGTTTTTAACCAACTAATGAGGCATGGAAATACTTATTTTGCACGCACTGTATCTTTCCCTGCATGCTTCTAAAAACTTGAAGAATTTTGGTCCATCCATTCATCATTTTTAAAAGATGTCTCGTTCAGTTCCACATAATGATAGCACCAAATTAACTTATTGTAAGACTGGTGTTTCATATGGTAAGATGTTTGCAAATTATTAATATGACATAGGCTGAAAATGTATAAACACAACAGAAGTGTGATTTAGCAGTGTAACACATGAATAAACACTGGAGCCAATATATATAGCTTCTGCCAAGAGAATCGGAACACCATAGGGTTTGACTGGATGCAAAACATTTGACGTCAATAACAAAAGATAGGGAAATGTTTTCTACTTCCTTTTAAAAGTCAATAAGTCTATTTACTTTGCTGTCCTAACTAGGCATGATTATTGCATTTGATTGTATGGATTTGGCATAGTTTTTCCCCTGCTGTTTGTCACCCTATCAGAAGTGAGCTGACCTATTTTTGGTCGCAACCCCATTGATTTATTACATGTACAATAACAATGCAAGATGATAGGTTTGAAGCTACTCCTACTAAGATAAGTCTTATAAAAGCAATAGCACGTGAGCAAAAGCACAGCAGATATATGGCCATGACATACTCCTTCAAGTATATAAATAAACGAGGAAAAACAAAGGAGTATCCCAAAGACTGCCTTGTGTGTTGTACTTTTTTTGCCATTGCTAGTTCAAAAGATGACTGATTTGAAAGCATCTAGTTAGAATTAGCAATGATGCTTTGGGTCATTTATAACGAGAAGTTATTGGATTAAAATAAAAAGCAGCACAATTTTGTGATACTGCTTTTATACAACAATTCATTCAGGTCAGTGTTTTTGAACAAATCAAGTGAATAATTCAATGACTCATTCACAAAGTCTTGTTTTGTTCCTGAATGAATCAGCATTTTTCAACAAACCGGTTGTATGAACGATTCAATGACTCACTCATAAAGACTGTCTGACTGAAAGACACACAGAAAAATCCCAACCACTAACACATAGACTGATAATCTTCTCTGGAGCATGCAAACATAGACAGCTTGTCCAATAGAGTGCATCAGTGCCATCCACTTTTTCAATGGCCTTGGTTCCAGAAGAATTTTTCCCATTAATTTCTCCCAAGCATTTTAAAACAGTCTATGTTAAAGAGAAACTAGGTGAATCACTACATAACAAACTTTAATTTAAAGCAAAAAAACTATTTGAAAATCAGACAAAAAGATAAAGGTACAACACTGAGTATTTAATGGCTTTAATCAGGGAAAGAACTATTCAAACATATTCGTACACATTCAACATATTCAAATTACAAAAGAAACATGTTGAATATATGTAGAGATATTCTATAAACAA